CCTGTAATTTCCCCAGGGAAATACGGTCAACCACTCAAGGTAGTTACAGGCGATAGTAAAGTCGTTACCGGTCTTAAACACCTCCAATTTCGTAAGTTCTTCATCAATAACTTGCAATACACGTTTTGGGATTTTTAGCTTATTAGGCTCAATCCCTAAACTTTTGCTGCAGAGAGAACTATTGCTTTTAGATATTATGATCATGATATAATCTCACTTGAAGATAATCTTACGATGGTACTTACCACAAGAAGATTTATCATCTTTTTAATAAACCGGATTACTTGAAGGTTTTGTCAAACAAACAATAGACCTATTCTTTCATTTATCAACATACGCATATGTACTAACGAAGATTTGGAGGGTAGCTGAAGGTGGACGATGGAAGATCTTGGCGTTAGATTAAAGGAGTTTGTTATTAACAACAAAACGTTTAATGATTAGGGTTTTGATTTCTGTACTCACAGAAACAGAGATAAAATTATCATAATTAGTAGAAACGTATTACAAAATCCCCAGTTGCTGATTCAAGTATCTTCATAATAATGGAATATCAACCTGTTTGAGATGATCTCAGCATTAAAACGTAACACTAATATAATAGACTAATCGTTAAACTGCTTAGACCATCTCCTATTGGATCTTAACCTTATTTTAAATTAAAATTTCACTATTTGTAAGTTAAGAAAAGTTATACAATATCATAACAAATTGTACAATTTGAGATTTGTTCTTAAAAAAGGGTTTGGAGATTTTGGACATACAAAATTTTGCAGAAAAGTGTGTGTGAGAGAGAGATAAAAAAACGATAACGTGAACCGGCCTATTAACAAAATAAACCAAATAGTAGATCCGAAAACAGACTTGTCATGAAACCATACATCATTGATCCATATAACAACAAAACCCTAATAATTATGTTTACCAATCTTCTTCTACGTCCATACCAGGAAGCACTTCCCAGTTGCTGCTGTGTATATATGGAATTTTCTGGTACTCTTTGATGTGATAGTTTCCATCAACATTTGTCTGGTCCTTGTACTGTCTCTCCTCTTCTTCAATCAATGTTGCTACAAACGGTCCACACGGGGGATACATTGGGACATTGTTAGTTTGTGTATCAGCTACTGCAGCATATGCTTGACTCTGAACTATCTCCCTTATGCTTTGCATCTTTCGAATCTCGTCTTGGTTCATCTGATTATGATACTGTGAACCGGTGAAATCTATTTGCATGTTATAAAGCTCGTTAACCACCTGAGACGATGGTGGGATACCTTGCATCCCAAACAACTCATTAGCATTGTTATAATTCAGACTATTGGCTTGACTATATGAGTTTCTTTGCCATCCACCGTTAGTCCTGAACTGCGGTGCTATGTTAAAGTTTCCTTCTCCCACTCCCACGCCACCAATTCCTATCAAAGTAATGGTTTTTCTTTCTTTTAAGTCTCTCACTCAAATAAAAAATGATTAGCGTAAGGTCCAAGGTAAAGTACCTTGAGAATACTGATGATGCTGAAGGCCATAGTTGACATTAAAGCCAACTGTCTGGCTATGGCTGTTGCAAGATGAGTTGTTGTTTTCGAAGCCGATGTCGAAGAAAAGAGATTCTTCTACCGGGAAAGGGACGTTATAGAGTTTGGACCAGAAGCTATTAGTCAGAAGCTTCTCCAAGTTCTTTTGCAGAACTCCGGGAGGAAAATGAATTGTATGTCTCCTGTTAAATAGAAAATGTAAGGCTTTGACTCACTTTCAACGTTACTCAAAGTAGAAAAAATGATCCAAGTTAAAGCAGGAAACCTGCAAGTAGAAGCCTGATTGTCGGTGAAATCGCGATCCAACTGTTTCCATTGAGTGTGTTTTCCTGCCTGTGGATTAGTCTCTATGAAGAATGTTGGACGTTTTCTCAACTGCACATAAACATTTCAAAGGTCATTAATCGAGGCTCATAACTAATTACAAAATGTACATGAGTATGTTTAGTACCTCGATATTGAGGATTCCAGTTTCATCACGTGTATGAATACTCTCTTCAAAAGATGAGACATCATTCCATTGAATCTCGATCTTTCTCTTCAGCCTTGGCATGTTAGTTTCTTCTTCTCCGAAGAGAAACTCCCATATAAGTTTCTTCTTTGCAAAATAGAATTTCGCCACAATATCTTCAGGGTTTATTGCAACGGAGGTCCATGTTCCAATTTTGATCATGGAGATTGGGAAATTCATAGCTTTTAGTTTCTCAGAACTCTTAAGAAGAGTTGAGGTCTTTAAGTTCTCTATTTGTTGATGATTACATGTGTAGTTTTTATTGAGGTAAGTTTCAATCTTGTTGATAAGCTCTGGAGTCGTTGTTAGAAGTAAGTTTAGACGTGCACCCTGAAAAAACATTGAGAATAAATCATAACTGTGCATTCCAAATATTAAAACCAAATCTTATTATATAAAGTATGGTTTTCAAATTTGGACACGTGTACATAAAAAATTTCCTTTTATTTAATTTTTAAAAAATTATAAGAAAACTATACGTATATATCTTATATCAAACAAATCTAAAAATCTAAAAATCTAAAGAAGATAATTATAAAGAAACTATATACATATTTTTAAAAATATTAAAAAGATAATATAAGAAAAATATACGTATATCTTATTATCTAAAAATAGAAATTATAAAATTATTTACTAATTCTAATTTAAGTACTAATTCTAAAAGATATCCTATTTTCTTAAAAATAATGAGAAAAAAGTATTTAGAAAAATACTAATTAAAAATAATTAATAAAACACGATAATTAAGAAACTTATACAAATAATTATTAATCTTAAAAGAAAAATTATACTCATCTCTAAACAAATAGACTGTCTCCTAATTTTTCACCAAACAAAATAGTTTCTTTAAAAACACCACCGCTGCTCCTATTTATTTAGTACTTTTTTTTATAGATACATCATCAATTATTGATGTGTGATATATTTTGTATGAAATTTCTTAAAATACCATGCTTTCAAGTTTTTTTTTGTTGTTGTCAAAGATACTACTATTAGTATAATGTTTGAAAAATACCATAAAAGTTTTTGGTTTTCCATTTGTAAAGAAATGTAAATAAAACGACGGTTTGATATGTGGTTTATATGTGAAATATTTCATGAAGAAGTTGTAGAATCATATTTTACGCAAAATTGCAAACCATGTTTTTATAGATTTGACAATAATAATAATAATAATAATAATAATAATAATAATAATAATAATAATAATAATAATATAATAATAATAATAATAATAATAATAATAATAATAATAATAATAATAATAATAATAATAATAATAATAATAATAATATAATAATAATAATAATAATAATAATAATAATAATAATAATAATAATAATAATAATAATAATAATAATAATAATAATAATAATAATAATAATAATAATAATAATAATAATAATAATAATAGTAATAATGAATGTTCTAGCAAAACTTTTGTTGCTTTGTAATTTACTAGATTATTATAATAAATGCAATAACAAATTTAAAATATAGAAATGAAAATAAGTGTATTAAAACAAAAGGATGAATATATAATCAAATTTTCTCTGTAATTAATAATTTATCTTCTTATTTCTTAAAAATATTTCTATTCACAATAAAAACTTAATATACCTTTCTGTTAAATTTAATTTTATTTTAAACCCGCACATCGGGATGGTCCTAATCTAGTATCTGATAAAACATAACTAACAATATCTGAGAGATAATAATCAGAGAGATCCTACGTTGAGGAAGAAGATGACGAAGAAAGAAACGTTTTCTTTTTGTGAAATGAATCTTAAATTAGATTTTAAACCAAATATATCTAGAGAATATTTTCAAACAACTTAAAACCCTAAAAACCCTAATTCTTCTCAAAATCTCTCTATAAATTATTAATTTATAGAGAGATATTACTAACTTTGTAATTTAAAAGAAATGCTATATCTGAAAAGCAGTTTTTTCTTATAATAAATTTCTTTTTGAAACCAATTATAAGTAGAAAATCAATTATGAAGTTTAAAAAACAACACAAAATTTTTTCAAGGTAGTAAAAATATTAAAATTAAACAAGTTATTAAAATTAAAATTAAACAAATACTAAAAATTAATACAAATTTAAGAAAAACAAAAAATACTAGAGTCATATGCCAATAAAATATTTTACATATAATATATATATATATATTGATAAGTTTATATAATTATTAATTTATAATATTGATGGGACCATATGTTTACGTAGAATTTTCAAAAAATTTATATTATTAATTTATCGAGTATTAATTGATAGAGGTTTTACTGTACCAAAGAAAAAACAAAACAGAGAATGAAACAAAACGAAGAAGAGAGTACGAGACAACAGAGAAAACACGAGAAACAGAGAGGAAAAAGCAGAGTAAAAACAGAGTAAATGCAAAAAAACAGAGAGAATTGAGAAGAGAAGACGATACCTCATCAACAAATATGTTATTGTGGCCACCTTGAAATTCTTCTCGTGATCTCTTCATGGAAATACCTATCTATTTTCTCTTTGTTGTATTAGCTTTTCTTTACCACTGCATATTCAGATTTGCCTCGAAAATAATATATATAGCATGTTTTTTTTGGGTTTAACTAACATCAACGAACCGACATTAAACAAAATATGGGCCTTACGTTTAATCTAGCCCATAATAAATGGGCTTTTCTTTTTTAAAATAATAAAAAACTAAGATTAATCCTAACTGTTCATGATGCTTAATTAAGCTCAGCTATGGCTTCAATGTTTAAACCCATGGCGGCAAAATCCCAGAAAACCTTCATTCTACTAGCAAATCTAATCAAGGTTCCTCCATTAAAAGCTTTCTCTCTCTTAAAGTCTCCAAATTTCCATGGATTTCAACACACACGAATCCATATCAATCCTTCTTCATCTCCTTCTCTCTGGAAACTTATACTCTCACGCTCAATCACTTCTCCTTCAAGTAATCTCCGGAAAAATCCAATCCCAATTCTTCACATCTTCCTCTCTGCTACACTATTTGACAGAATCAGAAACGTCAAAAACCAATATTCGTCTCTACGAGGTAATCATCAATGCCTATGTTCAATCTCAATCCCTAGATTCCTTAATCTCTTACTCCAACGAAATGGTCGATAAGGGTTTTGTTCCTGGATCGAATTGCTTCAACAATCTCTTAACTTTCGTTGTTGGGTCTTCTTCTTTCAATCAATGGTGGTGTTTCTTCAACGAGAGACAAAGCAAAGTTGTTTTGGATGTGTATAGCTTTGGGATTGTGATCAAAGGTTGTTGTGAAGCTGGTGAGATTGAGAAAAGTTTTGATCTTCTTGTTGAATTAAGAGAGTTTGGGTTTTCTCCAAACGTTGTTATCTACACTACTTTGATTGATGGGTGTTGCAAGAAAGGTGAGATTGAGAAGGCTAAAGATTTGTTTTTTGAGATGGGGAAGTTCGGATTAGTGGCTAATGAATGGACTTACACGGTTTTGATTCATGGGTTATTCAAAAATGGGATTAAGAAACAAGGGTTTGAGATGTACGAAAAGATGCAGGAAGATGGTGTTTTCCCTAATCTCTATACTGTACTTATAACTGTGTGATGAATCAGCTTTGCAAAGATGGAAGAACAAAAGATGCATTCAAAGTGTTTGACGAAATGTGTGAGAGAGGAGTTTCTTGTAACATTGTTTATATATGTCTTAATCTCTTCATAAACGTAAATCCATGATTTTCCCGCCAATTTTTTTAAAATTTTTTAACCAAAAATGAGAATGTAAAATTTCCCGCCAAAAACGTAAATCCGTGATTTTTCCGCCAAAAACGTAAATCCATGACTTTCCCGCCAAAATTTTTTATAATTTTTAATCAAAAATGAGAATATAAAATTTCCCGCCAAAAACGTAAATCCGTAATTTTCCCATCAAAAACGTAAATCCGTGATTTTCCCGCCAAAATTTTTTATAATTTTTAATCACAAATGAGAATATAAAATTTTCCGCCAAAAACGTAAATCCGTAATTTTCCCGCCAAAAACCTAAATCCGTGATTTTCCCGCCAAAATTTTTTATACTTTTTAATCAAAAATGAGAATATAAAATTTTCCGCCAAAAACGTTAATCCGTAATTTTCCCGCCAAAAACGTAAATCCGTATTTTTTCCGCCAAAAACGTAAATCCGTGATTTTGCCGCCAAATTTTTTTATAATTTTTAACCAAAAATGAAAATATAAAATTTTCTCGCCAAAAACGTAAATCCGTAATTTTCCCGCCAAAAACGTAAATCCGTGATTTTTCTGCCAAATAATAGTGATATTGATTATTATTAATAGCTTAATGGGTCAACCCATTTAACCTTCTAACCCATCCAATTAAATGAGTTCATGGGTTGACTCAACTCATTTGCTTAAATGAGTTGAGTCAACCCATGAACTCATTTAACTCTAAACTCATTGGGTAATGAGTTGAGTTGAGTTGGTTTAACTATTTTGACACCCCTATTTACGTGTATATTATATTTTCTTTCCTTTTTATAAATATTAATATAGAAAATAGTAGAATTTAAAAAAGGAAAATTTGACTCTATAACCAACAAAAATTTATAAATTAAGAAAGTAGCACTAGAAAAAAAAAAAAGGTGATATTATTTATAATTTATGTAATAAAGACACATTTAGTCCCTCTCAATCTCTCTCTCCCTCTGTTTTTCTCTCCTTCCCTCTCTTCTCTCTGTCTCTCTCTCTTAGTTCCTCTCAATGTCTCTCTCCCTCTGTTCTTCTCTCCTTCCCTCTCTCTCTCCACGTCCCTCTCTTCTCTCTCTCCTCTCTCTTCTTCCCTCCCTCTCTCTCTCTTCACGCACCCTTCATTTTTTTCCTGAGACTGAAAGGACTTTATTGTCTTTTCATACACCACATGTGCTACTCACTTAATTTCCAAGATTATGGTGCTATAAATTTAATAACTTTTTCAAAATTGGCTACTTTTGCAAATCACCCATCTAAAATATACAAAATTAGTAGAATCTTAAAAAAGTTAAGTAGTGATTTTATTGGGATTTTAGTCGACCAATCTCGATTTGCCATCTCACTAACTTTTTTTAAGATTCTACTAATTTTGTATATTTTAGATTCTACCTATAAAAAATCTTTCTTGCCACCCTTAAATTTTTGTTTTCCAATTAACCAAATTGACGTTAACTAAAAAAGGTAAATGAATATTACTTATCTCATGACAAAAAAAAAAGGAATATTACTTATCTCTTTGCCCCTTTAATTGAGCTAAATTAGTTACAAATTTAAATCCAAATGGAATTAACAACATTATCTAAATGCCTAGACCATAATATTTCTTTCCTTTTGTATTATTAATGTTTAAAAATTTGTCTCAACCCATAACTTTGACGGTTCATAGTTATGATAATTGGTTTCTTTTTATTTTTTTAGGGAAAAAAACTAGTTTGACCCAAATATAGAGTTTAATTACTAGAATAACTCATAAAATATAAGGGTTAATCTAGTTATTTTCATGACCAAAATACCCTTTCTCTCTTTGTTAGGAAAAAAAAAAGTCAAGATTACCCTCAATTATTTTTTCAAACGTGGGGAAAATTTTTGGAAAAAAAAAAATCTGTTGTGAAAAGTTTGCGGATTTCATTGTGACAGATTTATTTTTCACGACAGATTTAATATTTTACGACAGATTTTCGGCCCCAGATTTATTTTCTCCCACAGACTTATTTGAATATGGTTACGACAGATATTTCATTTGTTGCAGATTTTTGTTCTTCGACAGACTTATTTTATAATGACGCCTTAGACTTTTGTAATTTTGACAGATTTATTATATTGTGTGGCAGATTTATGTTTCCAGTGGCGTCAGACTTATATTTTTAGGAAAAAATCTGCTATAATGTAGCAGATTTGTTAATGAAAAAATAATTACTAGTTTGACTTATTAGTGATAACAGATTTGTGTTATGTTATGACAGTTTTTTTTTTGTTGACAAAAAATCTGGAGTGTGATAGCAGATTTGTCATAAAAACATAGAAATTGCTAGAATGACGTATAGTCGCAACCGAAATATTTTACGTTATGACAGATTTGTTTTATGTTATGCCAGATTTAAGTTACATTTCTAAAATATCTGGTGTTTGATAGCAGATTTTTTAAATTAAAAATAAATTACTGAAATGATCTATATAGTGATAACAGATTTTTTATATGTTATGACAGATTTTTATTGGGAAAAAGTGTCATAAAAATCATAAACATACAAAAAGTGTAGAAAGAAAGCATAAACTTTACTTGGGGTGGATTAAATGGTTAACTTTAGTTGACTTTTAAAATAATTGTTAACTTTTGTTGATATTGCCAACCAAGATACATCGCAGAGTGACGGATAAATTTAACAGAGTTAAGTCAACATTAATCGTTTTTGTTAAACTGCAAAACAATGTCATTGTCAGAAGTTGGATTCGAACCAGCTACCTTGGAGAGAGACCATTGGCTTTTTGACCACCTGAGCAAGAGTATTTTTCTGACAATTTTACACTAACACCTATATTTATACATCATCGCAACTCTTCTTCATCATCTTCTACCTGTGACGAGATTCATCTTCTTCTGATGCTTGCTTAGATCTCCATAGCCGCCTCTATCTTCAAAACGCAAAACTTCTGATTTTTCACCGGAGGCACCGCCGTCTCCGTCAAGACGCTAATCCCACAGTTCTCCGGCGAGATATTGACAACATTATTACCTTCTCCAAACACAATAATCACGCTTTCAGTCTCCTCAAGAATCGACCCATTATCTTCACCAACATCATTTTCTCTTCTCATCTCCCTCAATCAGAATCCTAATATCTAAATCCTCGGAATTGACTATCAATTTTATTAAGAAATCGTATTTGTTTTTTTTTTATATAATGAAAATGTTGTATTAAGTTTGATTGAGGTTAAATAGTCTTTTTACACAAAATTTGGGTTAGTCTAGTTATCCACTTCCAATGGGAGTCATTTTAGTTATTTTTGCAAAGTTTTGAGTCAATCTGGGTAAAATTCAGATTTGTTTATGTGTTGTTTTCTAAATATTTGAGTTTTCTATAAAATTTTTTTTAGTAAAAAACTAAAAATCTAGTAAATATAAATTTTAAATCAAACTAAATATGTTAATTTAAAATCCTAACTTTTAAATATTACTCTTTGATTCATTTAAACTCATATGTTTTTTTATAGAAATGTTGTATCTTTTTTACTTTTTCTTATATAGTATAATGAATTTATTTATCATAAATAAAATAACAAAGCAAAAAATATATTCAATATTTTTTTTATTATTTTATTATTTATATATATATATATATATAGATTTACATAAATATATAAATATTGATCGCCCCTCTAAATTTTTGTTCTAGATCCGCCACTGCACACACCACTCTATAACACTCCTCGTCAAACTCGTGTCCACACGGTAAAGTCACAATACTTGTTTGGTTGTTCCACCGTCAAATTCTTCCAAACAAATAGTTCACATGTCATTCTCACCGACGACATCACTATTTGATTATCAAAGTCAAAGCTAACATCGTTCTCAACCAATAAGCGCCGACAACCCGTAGAATGGAACAACTTCTCCAAGCTTTTGTTTCAAAAAAAAAAAAAAAAATTCTCCAAGCTGATATGGAACTGCTTTTTCATAGGTAAAGTTAAGCTCTTGTTCATCCCCAAAGTCAAAACCTAGATCTTCTTCTTCAAAGGTTTCTACAAACTGAGGTCGAGCTGCTTCTTCAGTTTGATGGTCAGAGTCAAAAATAACATCTCGCTCATCCTTAAAACCTAAACGCTCTTCTTTAAGCTCCTTTTTTTTCAAGAATATAAAGTATTCTCTTTTTGTATTCCATTCTAAATTATAGAACAATATTTATACATAAAACCAATACTTTAGCATTTAGAAACCTTTTTTTTTTTCCTTTTTTTTTTGTTAAGTAGAATTTTTTATTTTCATTATTAGCCTTTTCCTTTTCATTTTAAACCCAAAAAATTTCATATGTTTTTTTTTTCAACATTTGACATTTCTCTTCTTTACATATATATTTTTTTTTCTTTTCATAAATATCTTAATATAGAAAATATTATAATTACAAAATGTTAACTAATATGATAGCTAAAAATGCTAATTAATGAGATGTCCAACCACGATTGGTCGTTTAAAATCCCACGTGGACGGCCTGAGGAGCTTATAGCCTCGACTTTTATATAGTATAGACTAGATTATTAACCCCCGCGTAGTGGGGGTTTATTGTTATCGATTGTTTTAATATATTTTTGGGCTTTATTATCATTTAAATAGGTATATATTTAGTAATACAAAAGTACTATAATTTTTTAAATATTTTTTAACGGAAATGTTCTTTTATTTATTTTTAACGGAAGTATTTTTTTATTTCTATTTTTAGTATCATTTACGTTATTTCAAATTTTGTTTTGATAAGAAAAAAAAGTTTCTAGGGTAAAATTTGGTATGAAAAAAATTATAAATATGATGTGTCATTTTCTCTTACTTGTTTTACATTATTAAAGATTTTGCTAATAGTAAAGCAATTATAAAAATATTTTCACAAAATATTAGAAATTAATCTACTAAAT